ATATTTTGATATGCTAATATTACTGCTTTACTAATCCTGAGGAGGACAAGGGCTATACAAAATGGCTGGATCGATCAATGTGAATGAATGAATGTCGTGGGCATCAACAAAAGCTGTGAACAATGTCAACAAAAAAAATCTGCTATTTCGTGTTATTTTAAGTAGAATATCAAGATAAGGCAATTTTATTTATATCGCCTTTAATCACAGAAAAAAAAATCAAATCGAATAGAATATAAGTCTCATAAAATAGTGTGATTGATACTGTATTGCCCACTTCTAACGTTCACATATATTTTGTAACAATGAGTTTTTTTTGTTTTTTTGGTCTTAAATTTGGCTTACTTAAACCTATACTTGCACAGATTTTTTTGTTTTGTTTTGTTTTTGGTGTGTGTGAGTTTGTTTTTAAACTATTTTCAGCCACTCCAAGATTTGTTCATGTAAACACTCTTGCGTTAGCCAACATTTTTCTGAAATCTGAATCTCTCTCCTTAGCTAGGGTATTTGTAAAATTTCCAGTAAATCTTTTCTTGTGTCTACAAAAGTTTTGAACTCAGCAAGAGGGGCTTCTGAAGTTTCGAGTGTGTGCTACATTTTCTCCAAGACGATAAGGCTTTCTGAACGCCCCGCGACACCTTTGGTACACCCAGCGGGACTGGCTACCTCGACTTCAAAAAGGTCAATAAATGCAAAGATAAGAGAGTTTGGTGTGAATGAAATTGACTGGCCCGCGCAGAAGCACCTTCTTACAAATCCAGTCCGTTTGATGTCCAATATATTTTGGCGAAAGCTTATTTTTACCTTTGACTCTCCTCTGTATCAACAAGAGAGTCTGAGAACGTAGCGCTCAGAGACAAGTCAACAGTTCCCACTGGTTAAAGCTGGAAATAAACCCCAAGGAGATTTCCTCTGTAAATATACGAGGGACTCAGTCAGCAGAGCACTTATTACATGGGTCTCAGCTAACATGCTGCAGTGACTGATGTACTGATAATAGCCACGCTTAGACACACACTGACCAGAGCTCCGCTTTGGAAAATAAACCGGAGTTGTTTCAACACTGTGCTTGCTTGACCTTCTGAACGCAGGGACTGGGTCTTTATAGCACTGGGCAAAATCATATGTTCAAGTAGATCAGTCATAATTGTGGGGGGGAGAAAAAAAAAACTAAATCCATCCAAGTGAGGATTGGATTAATAACAGGAAGTCATCAAAGTTGTGAAACCCAGGAACACCCGATGTGTTTCCAAGTCTGTCATCCTATAAATGAAGCCATTCATTTCGGTTTAACAAGGGCTACGAAGAAAAGCAATATTTTTGGAAACACAACCCCAGAATCATTAAGATTCCACTGAAAATTAACAATTTGAATCTGTCCGATTGGATGCCATGTCTTGCTTCAACTCGCCTCGCAGGAAACAGACGTCTGAGTGGACATCTGCTTTCAATTCCTACATTTCCAGGTTGGCTGCGTACACTCATGTGTGGGACGGGGACTTTTTTTAACACCTCATTCTCATTTGATTTCGGTTTAAAGAGAATTTTTTTTTTTTTTTAATCGTTTGAGCATTGCTGCGACTGAAGAAAGCAAAATAGCATCAAATCACAACTGCTCATCATTGCGCTTTTATACCCAATATCCCTCCATCTATAATCTGATCTGCTTTTAACCATTCGCGCTCACAATCACACCGAAGGGCAATTTAGAGTGTTCAATTAACCTGCTGTGTTAGCACGTCTGTTGAAATGTTAATTGGGGTTCAGCTCTCGGCTCAAATAGTTGTTTGCGCTTTATAAAATACACGGATATGTCTTAAAAAAATTTCAGTCTGCCGTCATGGCTGACTTATGGTAATTTTCACCTGTTTCTTATGGGAAAAATTGTTTTGAATTCCAAACAGGATGCTGGTCACTCATGATAAAATATACGGCTTCTAGTATACGGATCTCTTCTGGACTTGATAAGTAAATGGGCCACGTCTGTCAGCAAATAAAAGGCGACAGGAGGCAATTAGACCAACGAACGTCATTTTTGTTTGTTGATTCTTGCTCAGAGTGACACACAAGGAATGTTTATCCGTCGTGTTGTATTACATCGTGTAAAGCAGGCTCTGAAGGCGCACACAATGATTCCTGATTAGTGCGTTCATCGTCAGTGCCCTTTAATGTTCTACGTACACATTTTCCATGCCCTTTAATGTTCTACGTACACATTTTCCACGTGGAACACGGTTCGCGGGTACGACTCTCACTTCGACATCAAACCTGTAAAATCCGTCGTGAACGGCACCGAGGTAGTTTTTTTTCCGGATGAGCTTTGTCCAATCACTACCCAATCGCTTGCTTTGCAAAAGAAAAAATATGGGCGACCACCAGCAAAAAAAAAAAGCCATCTATGAATCAAAGTGCAAACTAAAAATTGACGTCGTTTTCCTGTTGATATAACGAACCAATTAACGTTCATTTCCTGCACGTGTAAAGATGTCTTTAGCTGCAGTTTCCTGTTTGTGTCTGACGGATGGACAAGCTGGCAGCAAGAGTTTGCGGCCGGCCACATGCACACATCAGAGGGCTTCTTTTGGAGCTGCCTTATCACACCACATTAACCTCATATAAACATGGCATGAACCCGCCTCAGGCCACAGTGGTGGCTTGTGTGGGCAAAATTGCCGTATGCCAGTAGTCCTGAACCTTCTTCGAGGTACCGAACCCAAACAGTTAATATGCACATCCACCGAACAGTTCATTAGTGGAAAATAAATAAATATATTTTTTACAAATTCAAGATATTAAAAAAACACATTTATTAAAAACTGAAGAAATTAATAAAATTTCAAGAGACAAGTATACTTTTATTTTTTTTAAATTGTACGACATACTATCACGACAGTCACACGTTGACTACTGAGCGGACTAAATTTCCCATAGCACTGATTGGACAAGCGATGTAATGTGATAACTAAATGACATATTGAGTCGGGTGTGTCTTACCCTCCATGGCAGAGGCTTCGTCGAACCCCTGAAACCGATTCACCGAACCGCTAGGGGTTCAATCGAACCTGGGTTAAGAACCACTGCCGTATACGGTACATGCGAAGGAAGAACAAAATTCAGTGTGGATCTAGATAAATATTTTATTCTGGACATGGTAACGCTATTACAAGCATCTTTTGCTGTAACCAAAATGTATTTTGGCTACTGTCATTACATTGCCTCTGACCAGTGAAAAGCATGTTTCTCAAAATGTCATTATTTTTCTTTCTGACAAAAAACAGTCTTTCGTGGGGGGGCTCACCTATTTGCTATTTTGTACTCAGGCCAAATCACCAATTTTAATATATTGCTTTGGTACCGTCTTGTGGCACCTTGGTACCAAGGAACTATGTTGAAGTGGGGGCTAAGCTTAGGCCACATCCCTGTCAAATACAAAAGTAGTATTTTGACGGCATTTTGTTGCATTTATAAGCAATTATAAATCTTGGTTTTTTTTTAAATTTTTTTTTTTGGGAGGGGGGTCAATTACTCACAATGTGTCGCGATTCATGGCACGGCTCTGCCCCCGCAAATCTCGCAGGAACACATTTAAGGCTAACTTTTGGCTGAGGTGTTTCCTGGCAGGTAACACTACCGTAAACAAAACAAAATAATCACAATGTAATTCATTCTTTCTTGCTACAAGCGGTGCCACAAAGTGACGTGAAGCTGCGCACGACTGTGGGGAATGTTAACGAGACACTTCATTCCATTTGCACTCTATTTAATGAGTTATTACATATGTTGCCAGCGATTCATGATATCGTAATGAAATCGGTTGACAGCATTTTAATAAAAGCAGCAACAAAGGCGAAACAATATGTCACACCTTCGTTTTGCTTTTGGGGGAGGTAGGTAACTTGTCATCTTTGTTTCCAACACACACGCAAAAAAAAAAAAAAAACATTTTAAGGAACCATGCTTTTCACCTGGCGAGAAGTTATAACGATGGCAAAAAAAAAAAAAGTGCCAGTAAGACCAAATACTAGAAAAACACTTGGAATCTGTCACTCATCTTAAAAGCAAAACTAAGGTCGTTAAATAAATTAAACAAATACATCACAAAAATGTCCTTAAATTGGACACATACACCCAATCAAGTGATTAACGCAGATACACAAATTCCAATAATATCATCGTCCAGTCGCCCAAAAATTGCTTTTCAGTGAGACACAAAATTGATTTGTGGTGTTTCATTCCAGACCCCCCCCCCCCACCCAAACCAACTGCATATCTATTTATATATCCATATAAACAACATGTGATATTCCTTTTTATTAATAATTCTAAAATACATCTATCATATGAGACAACATATACATATTTCCCCTGACGTTGGCTGTTTGTAACATCGTAAGCACAAATTCAGATTCTTCTAAAATGGAAGAATATTTTAAAATCCGGAAACACTGCTTCCGGCGAGGCCAGGGGACGTAAGAGCTGATCGATCACACACACACACACACACACACACACACACACACACAGATCGATCACACACACACACACACACACACACACACACACACACACACACACACACACACACACACACACACACGTTGCAGTTGGAACAAATTAGCAAGTTTCAGTAAGTGATACGTATTCCTGTTTGTGCTGTCAATCAAAGAAAGAAGCTGATTTAGCATCTTTCTGTTTGTTTCATTTTTTGACAACAGAAACTGCCCTCCCAATTCTACGATCCGCCGCTTTGATGACATCACCTCCGCGCCTTCACCAAAGGAGCCCGTAAGATTTCTCTCGTGCCGTAGCGGGAGCGCAACAAACGCGTCGCTAGAGCAACGTGGTCCACGTGTGATGGGTGAGCGCCAGGGAGGCGCACAGCAGGAGGAGTGAGCATGAACACAGCGACGAGGCGGACGGCAAGTTGTAATAGTCGTAGTGGTTCAAGTCTCGACCTGGAGGCTTCGCTGTGATGTAACCGTCGATGACGCGGGGGGTTGGCGGCGACTGGGCCGCGGCGCTGTGGTAACAACAAAGTAGAAGAGACACACAGATGGTTTCAGTTGAAACGCCAAAACGGGGATCCTGAAAATATTGGACCAAAACGTTGTCTGGATCAGTACTTTGAATGAATCCAAGTCTACTAAGCCTTACATACTGTTCATTCATAAAACTACAGATCTTTTCAGACTCGATCAATAGCTTGTTTGACATGACAACATGAACGATGGGTTCTTAAGGTTACAGAAAAAAGGGGAACGTTTATTTTCATTTGCTACATTGCAGATCCTGTTGGCCTTTGTGCAGGTGAGGGTCTCTCGCCCGTGTCAAGACAATTGCTGCAAGTTTCTGTGGGAACCTGGGCAAGTTCTTGACAGTTCTTCTCATGTTCCAGCAAATAAAATCTAAACGGGACTGTGATAGCATCTAACGATGCATATAAAGCAGCAAGTGTTCCTAGCTAGCTACTAATTGAGTCTTCGAGATACATGAAATGTTGAGTTTTATGAAAGTGCTACCAAGGTTTTTCTATTGGTTTCTGCAATTCGGTTAGGTTCGGCTTGAATGTTCAGACAGTGAACACACACAATTGCAAGAAGAGACGTATATGTTTTGAAAATATCGTACGTATTGATTTTACGCTTTTAGTCTGTATTGGTGAACTCAATTTGACCTTTTCAAAACTTTGGAATGTCAAATGATTGAACACTGAGCTACAAAATACACAAGAGGTATTCGATCCATGAACGGAACAATACACATAGATGTAGAAAGAGGCACAGAAATGGCCGTCCTTGGAATTTTTGGGGTGTATTATTTTAATCAAAATGGATGAGCTCTCTGTGAATGTTCTGAGCTGCCATTTCAATGTCAGTGTCAAGTCCAACATGAGGTCGAAGTCGCATTGTACCTCTTTAGACAGCAAATGAGTTAAAACTGAATCAACAGCGCCTCCTCTGACTGCAACCTAGTACTGCACTCCGACTGCCCTCACTCCTCTGTATTTCAAGACACGATTAATCGACACGGACTTATTATCACGCCCTATCCCTAAAAATGAGCCCCTTCATAAGACCAAAAAAAAGTCCTCCAACATTTTTCCTCCATGTTCAAAGTGTTTTGCTTTCTATGACCTTAAAAGTGACTACATTTACATAAAGAAGAATATTCCAAGTGAACAAAGGAAAGGGTGTCGAAGAGCTAAATTGCATGACTTCATTGTCAATTTGTTTTGGATCAGCGTTGATCCAGAAAACTTTTATTTTCATTTCATAAGACTTGTGATTTTTGTTGGACAACTTTGCGATGGCACTGGACATCGATGAAAGCCGGGTTCTGTTGCTGTTGAGTTTTGGACGACCTCTGCCTTTCCCGTTCAGGCACCTGGTCAGACATTCAAATATACAACGATGTCAACCTTTGGACGCTTTTGGCACACGTGGAGACAAACAGTCCCTTGCCTTGCCTTGCCGCCCAAAAAAGACAAGGTCTCTTCGAAAATGAGAGAACATTTCTGCAGACGCGATGAAAAGAAGCGCTCTGAAATAAATAAATTGTGACATACTGTAGCTAAAGTATAAGTTTACTGAGCGTCACGAATATGGTGTGTGAAGGACAAAAAAAGCAAGCAGGAGGGAGAAGCAGCAGGGTGAACTTGACAAAAATGTATGAATCAAACACTAAGAAACAAAGTCCTGAAAAACAAAAAAAAAAAACATGACAGATGCAAAAACAAGGTGAAAGCAATACAAACAAAAATCCACGGCAGTCCCGCACAGAAGCAACAACAAAAATGATGACCCGACACTGAGTGGTCAGGCCAGGGAGTCCTTTTAACAAACAAACCTACTAATGACATAACGGCCAACAGGTGTGCCGCTGCAGGAAGAGCCCTACAGTGCCACCTGCTGGTCACAAACAGATCCACGACACTGAGCAAGTCTTTGCCATTAAAAAAAAAAAAAAATAGAGACATATCATGTCTAAACTTTTTTTGCCGTTAACCTTGATTTCATTGGAACGTCATACATTTTCCGCCATTTGTTTGGGAGATATTGTTTTGGTGTGGTGAAACAACAGCTTCTTCTCAAAAGCCAAAAAAGCCAGGAAAAGGATCCTAAAACATCTCAACTTTACTTGGGGTTAATCAGAGAAACCTAAAATGAGAATGTTTTTTTTTTTTCTGACTCCATTTAACATGAGTATTTACTTAAGTGAGTTTTTGAAATGATTTGCCTTGGTGGAGTTTTTCACAATTACAAAAAATTGGCATTTGACAAGGAGGCGCATGAAGACTTATACTTGATACAATGACCATTTGAATTGTACGGCCTGTTGTTAATCTACATTTACTCCTTATTTTTTTAGTATCATCGTTCCTTTTGACGCCATGAGTGAATGTGCATGTTTTTAGCCTTAGTGTACGACTATGTTTAATTCAAAAGTACATTCTCACATGAATGGGGGGGGGGGGGCATGGTTCATATTTAATTTGATTTAATATAGCGCGTGAAACAAATGCAACTCAAATTCCTTCTCCCGCCCGCGCGCGTTGCCGCCATCAGCTCGACAAATGGCTGGATAGAATGTCAGCAAATTAACTTGCGGTGGCCACATGGCTAACCACTCACAAAACTCGAGGGGACCACACCTGCGCAGTGGTCTCGTTGTCATCTGAAAGGTGAGCTTGTTATGTTGTCTGGTTAGTCCCTGCCTGAAGCTACGGAGAGAGCAAAACCGGATTCTTCCCAGGCAGCTATTTTCACCTTGAAGTCACCTATACCAGCCAGGAACTAGTCAGGACTCATTTGTCACTCCGGGGCATGTGTGTTCAGCTAGAGTGTGACTGGAGTGCATGAAGTATACGGCGATATGATATGTGGCCTGTTTGAGCCTCCGGCGTCACAGCAGGAAGCGTCACTTTTATTCTGTGGGGGTTGGGACCTTTCCCTCATTGACTCTCCCATATCATTCATTTCCTTGACGACCATGATTACCTCCGAGGGGGGTATGTTTCATGGCATGTAAGGCCAAAGTACCTGGATCGGCAGGGTACACCCTGAATTTAATCGCAGGGCACACATAGACAGGGCCTGGAATCGAACCCGTGCCCTATGCACTGTGAGACGGAGGATGGTATCCATGGATTTTTTTTGGTTGTCATCTTACCTCTCTTCTATGCGGACCCAGAGATCATTGAAATGCCTGTGCCTCTGCTTCTTCTGCTTGTTTCTCCTTCTTTTCTTCAGCATCTTCTTCTCCGCTTTCTCCAGCAGTTCCAGGCTGTCCGAAGGCAAAAGCATGTGGGTCAACCGTTCGTCCTCCAGGGACCGCCCCTGATCCTGCTCCCGTTCTGGGAGTTCGTGCAGAAAAGGCTCCAGGAAAGAAGACTCGTCATGTTGATCTTCTGGCTCAGTGAAATCTGATGTGGATGAGGATCTCCTTGATGGTTGGAACACAGAAATGCGAAGATATGGTTGACAAGTAATGACGGCTATCATCCTCCGTCCTTTCACAAGATATTTTCTGCGATAGCTGCCTTCATACGATGCTATGCCAAACTGCAATAACATGCCTAAACATCAAAGTGGGACGCTATGCTCAGTCAGGCCTTACCACAACACTCCTTAGGTGGTCGATGTAGCCACAGTGTTGTTAGAGTCTATGAGGTGGAAACAGGAGGGACTATAAATAGTCTGTTTTTATCACACACTTACAACCGTCCCGTAGACACCCGGGAACTTTCTGCATGAGCTGGATTTCCTTCATTTGGTTGAAATATTTACATCAGCCCAGCACGCGGGCCTTGAATAAGCCAAATCGCTGCATTTGCTTTTTATATTCCATATTCAAAGGGGGGAAACAAGTCTGACTTTTACTCTGTGCTGCTTAGATGTCAAAAACAGTGTTTAACTTGCAACAAAAATTTGAAAATGTATATTTTACAATTGGACAACAACAAAGCATTTGAACTTTTAGCTTCCTCAAGTTTTACAATCAGATTTAAGGCGCCACAAACCCTTTTGGAATGAAATAAAACTCTCCGGAAATTGTGCACTATAGACCCCCCACCACTCTGGCATGATTTAAAGCTTTTTTCTTTCTGACTGTTTATCAAAACATAAAACTTATTTGTAGATCCATGATTCATTTGTGCTGAGGAAAGCCATGCCATTGCTAGTCATGTTTGAGCACATATGGAGGAAGTGCGTTCTGGAAAAAAAAATGAGAATGAATCAGTGGATACCGGCCCGCAGCCGTTTTGGGACTATTTGCAGGCAGCACATTTTGAAGAATTCCAGAACATCTGTTTCGGGTCTGGAATTGAGCACACAGCAGCAATGAAGTCGCATGAATGTTGAAAATGATTCCTATTTGGAGGTCAGTCCGCAGAAAACGTTGGAAGAAATATTACTGGCAGGAACCTGAAACCCGTTGAAGTGCGTGCGTACATATGACAGATGGGAAATCGTACAACAATCAGTACCTGTTTATGGACTGCCCGGCCGGGGTGTGCTCCACCTCGTATCCTTGACGACGAAGCACATCAATTACTGTATTGTTACCCAGGAAGTGACCTGCAGTCAAAAGAGGAACACTCGTCCTTAACTCTCTTGATGACACTTGCAATTCAAATTACTGTTTAATTCTATCTCGAAAGGGAAAAAAAAAGGAAACAGTATCACTGCTGACTTTGCAAGGGAATGGCACGAGGGGGCATGGTCCACCCTGGATTATTAACCAGCCAATCACAAGTCACGGAAAACAAACAAAAAAATCACACCAAAGGACAAATTAATCTGCCCAACATGCATGTTTTTGCGAACGTGGAAGGACGCAAACCCCACAGAGGCCTGAGCTAAGATTTAAACCTCAGGACCTTTAGACTATGTGACGGATATGCTAACCACTAAGGCACAGTGCTGCCCGTAGAGTCAATAATTCGATGGTCATTTTTACCAGTAACATTACACAATCGCATCAATACACAATGTACGTAAAATATACAGGGTCAGGCAAAACGATCTGACACATTTGTAGGTTAAATAAAAGGCAAATAAAGTAAAGAAACAACAAAAAAAAAGTTTTTACTTTCGAAAAGTACATATGATGCCTTTTTGCTTTGTTTCTTTATAATGCCATTGTTTGTAATTTCTTTTTCAGTTGCTGCCAAGAACTGGACTGGTGAGAATTGCGCTTTCATTGTGGAAATGTTCATCAAAACAAACAAATCTGTAACGGCAACACAACATGTAGGTTAAATAAAAGGCAAATAAAGTAAAGAAAAAACTTTTTTTTTCGAAAAGTACATGCAATGCCATTTTTTTCTTTTCATGCCGTTTTGCTTTGTTTCTTTATAATGCCATTGTTTGTCATTTCTTTTTCAGTTGCTTCCAAGAACTGGACTGGCGAGCATTGCGATTTCATTGTGGAAATGTTTATCAAAACAAACGAATCTGTAACGGCAACACAACAATCTTGGTAGACATGATGTCGAAACACGATCTTGTTATGGGTTACCAACTTCAGAGCGACTGGATCTGCATTGAAACCAAAATCAACGGGCCGACCTCGCGCCGCCAAAACTCCACTTAATTTTTAAAAATAATGAGCACACTTTTTGGTTTCTTTACTTTATTTGCCTTTTATTTAACCTACAAATGTGTCCGATCATTTTGCCTGACTCTGTACAAACGCAAGTCAACTAAGAAAGGAAATGCTGTCGGAATTGTCGGCATATACAACTTCACCTTCATTTTGTAGAACAAAATCAGGCTCATGCTTCCTGTACAGTAGTACCTCTTCTTACGAAATGAATTGGTTCTTTTATAGTCACTATCAGTAGTCAGGTAGGTGTGAAAAGTATTGCTAAATATTTAGGTAGAATAATACCGTATTTTCTGGACTATAAGTTTCCCCAAAAAATGCGACTTATACTCCAGTGCGACTTATATATGTTTTTTCCTTCTTAATTATGCATTTTTTGACTGGTGCGACTTATAATCCGAAAAATACGGTAAGTAGTAGTAAATAAATAAGAATAATTCTCCATCAGCCATCCATTTCCCGTTCTGCTCATCCTCACTAATGAAGCGAAACAATAGCAAACCACTCGCCAGCTATTCCATTTCATCGTTTTTTTTTTTCCAATTCTGGCCTCTTCCTTATCTCTCATGGAAATCCTTGTCGCTAGCTTCCCTCGTACCCCTTGTCTTTCGCTGACCCGCTCTCCGCTAGGTGAAGTGGGACCATTGATGCTTCAGGTTGCCGTGTCAAGAGGTCTCCATTCGTGACCAAGTGGGAGCCGGGAGCCATTGTTTGGGCCTGCTCAGCCGTGGCACCGGGGAGCTGTGCGAACAATGAGACCCGCCACTTTAATCTGGCCCACAGCTATTGTCAGGGAGCGGCTGTGCACAAGATGCACCAACTGGTGCCATGATACTATCGTCCATCTCTTCGTTATTTGCACTAACTTTGATCTTAAGGATGTTATTATTTGGATTGCATTTGGTATTGAATTGGTGCAAGCTTCACACTGCGTTCTTTTGAGCAGCGTTAATGGACTAGCCGGTAGCCCGTTTGACATTCTTTGGAAGTTGGAAAGCGGAGCGAGACGGCGCATTGAAGCTCTCCAGCCAGCCGGCGTTTAGAAACATCTCAATGTGATTTATGTGCGTTTACGTCAGGGGATTAAAGGTGGGACAAATGGAGCTGTTCGGCACAATGTCGAGCTTTCGGAAGGGTGGGCGGATTTCCAATCTTCAAAGGGGTAAACGCACGCGCGCGCGCGCATTACGAAATGAATTGGCTCTTTTATAGTCACTATCAGTAGTCAGGTAGGTGTGAAAAGTATTGCTAAATATTTAGGTAGAATAATACCGTATTTTCTGGACTATAAGTTTCCCCAAAAAATGCGACTTATACTCCAGTGCGACTTATATATGTTTTTTCCTTCTTAATTATGCATTTTTTGACTGGTGCGACTTATAATCCGAAAAATACGGTAAGTAGTAGTAAATAAATAAGAATAATTCTCCATCAGCCATCCATTTCCCGTTCTGCTCATCCTCACTAATGAAGCGAAACAATAGCAAACCACTCGCCAGCTATTCCATTTCATCGTTTTTTTTTTTCCAATTCTGGCCTCTTCCTTATCTCTCATGGAAATCCTTGTCGCTAGCTTCCCTCGTACCCCTTGTCTTTCGCTGACCCGCTCTCCGCTAGGTGAAGTGGGACCATTGATGCTTCAGGTTGCCGTGTCAAGAGGTCTCCATTCGTGACCAAGTGGGAGCCGGGAGCCATTGTTTGGGCCTGCTCAGCCGTGGCACCGGGGAGCTGTGCGAACAATGAGACCCGCCACTTTAATCTGGCCCACAGCTATTGTCAGGGAGCGGCTGTGCACAAGATGCACCAACTGGTGCCATGATACTATCGTCCATCTCTTCGTTATTTGCACTAACTTTGATCTTAAGGATGTTATTATTTGGATTGCATTTGGTATTGAATTGGTGCAAGCTTCACACTGCGTTCTTTTGAGCAGCGTTAATGGACTAGCCGGTAGCCCGTTTGACATTCTTTGGAAGTTGGAAAGCGGAGCGAGACGGCGCATTGAAGCTCTCCAGCCAGCCGGCGTTTAGAAACATCTCAATGTGATTTATGTGCGTTTACGTCAGGGGATTAAAGGTGGGACAAATGGAGCTGTTCGGCACAATGTCGAGCTTTCGGAAGGGTGGGCGGATTTCCAATCTTCAAAGGGGTAAACGCACGCGCGCGCGCGCACACACACACACACACACACACACTAAAACAGATGCACGCACACACAAATGTCAGCAGATGCAAATTCTTTGAATGTAACCATCAATTCTGTCACCCCGCAAGGCCTCAATGTGTTTTTCACGACTACAGGTGGGAATGTAACAAGACATCATCGAATATTGTCCTCCATGTCAGAAAAATGCAGTCATAAAATAATAATTATAATAATAATGAAATCACAATTAAAAGGTTACACAAACATGGCAGTTGGATGTTTTTACACCCAGAGCCGTTAACTCTCCGTTCATAAAGAAAAGGCCAAAAGCCGATTGAATGTTTTCACCTTGAAATACTTGACCAATAGCACAGTATGAGGTGAATAAAAGCACAATTTGACACTTGAAAGAATCGTTTTCTTTATTTTCTTTCTTTATCAATCAATGAATGTTTTCGGAAAAGAGTGAGTGCCACTTTGAGCAGCCCACCATAAGCTACCTGAACTTGGAAAGACCCTTGGAAAACTATCATCTCCCACACGTGCTCACATTTGAAAAAAATAAAATAAAATAAGATTCAACTAAAACAGGAGTGATGACCACCTCGCACTAAACGATCAAGATGACGGGAGAGCGCTGCGACTCCAGCGAAACTCTCAAACTCCCTTCTGACTTTCGGTTTGTAGTCCGGTGAAAGCGCAGCATGAACGAGAACATTCTTCACCCCCCCCTCCACGAGAGAAGTCAAACTTGGAGCCCTACGGTGCACTAAAGTCAAAAAATCTTTGATTAGACATGATGGATCTCCCTGAAATCCAAAGCCTCGAAAGTATGCCTGGGCTTCTTTCTAAAACGAAGGCCCCAAGTATGACGTATGGCCTTTGGTGTAGGTTTCAAACAGGACAAGTGACCTGTGATGAAAGACGGCTCTCTCGTGATTGTAAACGTTTCCAAACTCTGACTTACGACTGCACTGTACTCATTTGTAACGGCAAATTTCTCTTTTGCCTTCTGGAATGTGTCTCGTTGACATCATCCTTTAAAGGACACATATTACAACTTCTTTGTTTCGATTTGCTTTTCGCCTTTCTGGTCAGTCAAAATTATGAGACGATTTCATTCATCCGTCTTCGTTTTCTCTTTAAAAGAAAGTGCACCGACAAGGAGGAACCTGGTCGCATCCGTACCCCTAATCGGTCCTTTCTGCTACTTTTGAGGTCAAATCTAAAAATACAAATGCCGTACTGCAGTTACCCACTTGTGTTCTGCACTGGCTGAAGTCTGACGTTTATTTCCAGGGCTTATTTATATAGGCCGATTTCATACATTTCACCTTGCTGAAACGGGCCAAGAACGCGTAACAGCGTACAATAAGTTCACTGTACGTACTCCGCAACCTTTTGAGAGGCAAAGATGGCCGAGATAAAGAGCAGCAGCGGGACTGAAAGCTCCTATTCGTCGCGTTCCTGCGCCGTCAGCTAAAACGGTACATCGGGGCCATTTACGGAGTCGGCGATGAGTTAATTCACGTTTATTCACATTTCGGCCATGGGACAGACTCATCTGACAGCAGCAGAACGAATTGCCACGAGTGCTTGCGCTCGCATAGAAAACCTTTCGACACAATGTCAGGCGAAATATATTCAAACATATGATGAGTCTTAACCCCTTTGTGCACCAATAATGCTAACCTGCAACCTGATAACACGATAAACTGTCCACTGTAGCGACCGCTGTCCCTGAAATGGTTAAAGAGTATTCATTGTCCATATATTTACGTTACAACTTGTAAGCAGGGCTCGGACGGCGCTTCTCATAACATG